GTTAGGCCAACAGTCACCACATGTCACGTAACCCAATTTTCTTGCAAGACAGAAAGGACAAGGTATAAATAGCAGCCAGTTTACTGACTCTTCTGCCAGACTGGTAAAAAGGCAGCTATGGACCAACATCCTTTGGCTTCATATTTTGGAAATATTTGGTTTTTAAATATCAAACTATTTTTTTCAGTCACTGAGAGGACACGGTACCATTTACATACATAGGATTTCAGACAGAAAAGTGGCTTGTAAATCATAGAATATTAGGGTTGGAAGAGACCTCAGGAGGTCATCTAGTCCAATCCTCTGCTCAAAGCGGGACCAACACCAACTAAATCATCCCAGCCAAGGCTTTGTCAAGCTGGGCCTTGAAAACCTCTAAGGATGGAGATTCCACCACCTCCCTAGGTAACACATTCCAGTGCTTCACCACCCTCCTAGTGAAATAGTGTTTCCTAATATCCAACCTAGACCTCCCCCACTGCAACTCGAGACCATTGCTCCTTGTTCTGTCATCTGCCACCACAGAGAACAGCCAAGCTCCATCCTCTTTGGAACCCCCTTTCAGGTAACTGAAGGCTGCTATCAAATCCCCCCTCACTCTTCTCTTCTGCAGACTAAATAACCCCAGTTCCCTCAGCCTCTCTTCGTAAGTCATGTGCCCCAGCCTCCTTATCATTTCCGTTGCCCTCCGCTGGACTCTCTCCAATTTGTCCACATCCCTTCTGAAGTGGGGGGACCAAAACTGGATGCAATAGTCCAGGTGCAGCCTCACCAGTTCCGAATAGAGGGGAATAATCACTTCCCTTGATCTGCTGGCAATGCTCCTACTAATACAGCCCAATATGCCATTGGACTTCTTGGCAACAAGGGCACACTGCTGACTCATATCCAGCTTAGATTCACAGATACAAAGATCAGAAGGGACCATTATGATCATCTAGTCTGACCTCCTGGACAACGCAGGCCACAGAATCCCACCCACTCCTGCGAAAAACCTCTCACCTATGTCTGAGCTATTGAAGTCCTCAAATCATTGTTTAAAGACTTCAAGGAGCAGAGAATCCTCCTTCTTGTCCACTGTAATCTCCAGGTCCTTTTCTGCAGAACTGCTGCTTAGCCAGTCGGTCCCCAGCCTGTAGCAGTGCATGGGATTCTTTCTTCCTAAGTGCAGAACTCTGCACTTGTCCTTGTTGAACCTCATCAAATGTCTTTTGGCCCAATCCTCCAATTTGTCTAGGTCACTCTGGGCCCTATCCCTACCCTCCATCGTATCTACCTTTCCCCACAGCTTACTGTCATCTGCAAACTTGCTGAGCGTGCAATTAATCCCATCATCCAGATCATTAAACATGTTGAACAAAACCGGCCCCAGGACCGACCCCTGGGGCACTTCGCTGCACACCGGCTGCCAACTAGACATCGAACCGTTGATCACTACCTGTTAAGTCTGATGATCTAGCCAGCTTTCTATCCACCTTATAGTCCATTCTTCCAATACATACCTTTTGAAACTTGCTGGCATGAATACTGTGGGAGACCGTATCAAAAACTTTGCTAAAGTCAAGATATATCACATCCACCACTTTCCCCATATCCACAGAGCCAGTTATCTCATCATAGAAGGCAATCAGGTTGGTCAGGCGTGACTTGCCCTTAGTGAATCCATGTTGACTGTTCCTGATCACCTTCCTCTCCTCCAAGTACTTCAAAATGGATTCCTTGAGGACCTGGTCCATGATTTTGCTGGGGACTGAAGTGAGGCTAACCTGTCTGTACCTCCCCAGGTTCTCTTTTTTCCCTTTTTAAATATGGGCACTATATTTGCCTTTTTCCAATCATCCAGGACCTCCTCTGATCACCAAGAATTTTCAAAGATAATGGCCCATGGCTCTGCAATCACATCAGCCAACTTCATAAGCACCCTTGGATGCACTATATCTGGACCCATGGACTTGTGCATGTCCAGCTTTTCTAAACAGTTCTTAACCTGTTCTTTCACCACTGAGGGCTGCTCACCTGCTCCCCATGCTGTGTTGCGCAGTGCAGCAGTCTGGGAGCAGCCCTTCTCTGTGAAGACCGAGGCAAAAAAAAGCACTGAGTATTTCAGCTTTTCCACATCATCTGTCACTATGCTGCCTCCCCCATTCAGTAAAGGTCCCACACTTTCCCTGACCTCCTTCTTGTTACTAACATAACTGTAGAAACCCTTCTTGTTACCCTTCACATCCCTTACTAGCTGCAAGTCCAATTGTGCCTTGGCCTTCCTGACTGCACCCCTGCATGCTCTAGCAGTATTTTTATATACCTTCCTAGTCATCTGTCCAAATTTCCACTTCTTTTAAGCTTCCTTTTTGAGTTTAAGCCCACCAAAGATTTCCCTGTTAAGCCAAGCTGGTCGCCTGCCATATTTACTATTCTTTCTGCACCTTGGGAAGGTCTGTTCCTACGCCGTCCATATGATTTCTTTAAAATACAGCCAGCTTTCCTGGACTCCTTGCCCCCTCATATTAGCCTCCCCGGGGATCCTGCCCATCATTTCCCTAAGGGAGTCTAAGGGCATGGCTACACTTGCAGATGTAGAGCGCTTTGAGTTAAATCAGCCTTCGTAGAGCACAGTAGGGAAAGCACGGCAGTCTGTCCACACGGACAGCTTCAACCGCACTGGCGTGGCCGCATTTGTGGCACTTGCAGCAGCATTGGGAGCTGTGCATTATGGGCAGCTATCCCAGCATGCAAGTGGCTGCAACGTGCTTTTCAAATGGGGGGGAGGGGTGGAGTGTGACAGGGAATGTGTTGTGTGTATGTGGGGGGCAGAGAGAGAGAGAGAGAGACTGGGTTGGGGGGGCTGAAAGCATCAGCATGCTGTCTTGTCAGTTCAGACAGCAGCAGACCCCCCTCGCCCCTCTCTCTCTCACACACACAGCATTCCACACTAATGGTTGCTTTGTCTTGGAGCAGATAAGCAGCTGGCTGTCAGAAACTGAGCTTTCAAAGGGCATTTCCGCATTCCTACAGCCGATTCCAAACAATGAGAAGAGTGGCCACTTGACTTAAGGGGATTATGGGACATTTCTGGAAGCTGATCAGAGCGCAGTAAGGCAACACCTTGTCCACACTGGCGCCGCAGCGCTCCAGCGAGGGTGCAGCAAACGTTTTTCCACTCGCCGAGGTGGAGTACCAGCAGCGCTGTAACCGCAGAGTCAGAGCGCTCTATGTGCCTTGACAGTGTGGACGGGTAGCAAGCTAGTGCGCCCAGGGCTCCTTTATTGCGCTGTAACTCACAAGTGTAGCCAAGCCCTAAGTCTGCTTTTCTGAAGTCCAGGGTCTGTATTTTGCTACTCTTCTTTCTTTCTTTCGTCAGGAGCCTGAGTTCAACCATCTTATGGTCACTGCTGCCTAGGCTGCCACCCACTTCTACTTCTCCTACCAATCTTCCCTGTTTGTAAGCAGCAGGTCAAGAGAAGCACGGCCCCTAGTTGGTTCCTCCAGCACTTGCACCAGGAAGTTATCCCCAACACTCTTCAAAAACTTCCTGGATTTTCTGTGCACTGCTGTATTGCTCTCTCAGCACATGTCAGGGTGACTGAAGTCCCCCATTAGAACCAGGGCCTGTGATCTGGAGACTTCAGTTAGTTGTCCGAAGAAAGCCTCGTCTACCTCATCCTTCTGATCTGGTGATCTATAGCACACGCCCACCACATCACCCTTGTTGCTCTCGCCTCAAAAGACTCTCAACAGGCTTTTCTCCAGTTTCAAATTGGAGCTCTGAGCAATCATACCGCTCTTACATATAATGCAACTCCTCCACCTTTCTTCCCGTACCCGTCCTTCCTGAACAGTTTATACCCATCCATGACAGTGCTCCAGTCATATAAACTGCCCCACCAAATTTCTGTTATTCCAATTCCATAGTTTCTTGATTGTGCCAGGACTTCCAATTCTTCCTGCTTGTTTCCCATGTTTCTTGCATTCATGCACATGCACGTAAGAAAACTAGCAGATTGCCCTACTTTCTCAATATGAATCAGGAGGCTTCCCGTCCTGTACCCTCCTCCTTACGTTTCCTCCTGGTATCCCACTCACCTCTGGGCTTAGGTCACCATGGTCAAATGAAGTCCCTGTGGAAAATGTGGAAAGGATGACGGCTATACTGCTAATTTCAGTTCAGATTTAAAATACTGGCATAGAAACATTGTACTGAAGTGGCATCTGACACTCCAGTGACCAAGCAAGGACCTCAACATGCACTCACAACTGCTACCCATTTCAATGGGAGTTGAACCCATATTTGAGAACAGGATTCAGAAACCTATGTTCTACACAAGATTAATGCTTTTCACTGCACACTATTTCAATCCCCTGAAGGCAGTTCAGTTATGCTAGAGAGCTATGAAACTTCCAGCTCCATTGCCTTAGCTACAGACAAGAAATAAAAGAAACCATTTACATGTATTAGATAGCACTACAGAAATGGATTGATTAGGAAATATTTGGTAGGAGAATAAAAGCAAAAAGGTGAGGACCTTCCTCCTACAGAGGTGTTTACCATTTCGTTACACATGATGCCATTTCTTCTGAAAAGAAACATTTGAAATATTTGGTCAACTAAGCAACCACAACCACTGATCAGTGAACAGGCTTAGAAATATTATAAGTCTTGTTGTGCTATAGGACCCTTCAGAGTGATGCTCCCATTCTATCCCAAAACATAAAATGTGAATGGCATTTCAGAAAAAACTTATTTAATTTTAATGTGTGATTCAGTATCATTACCATTTCCCCACCTCTTCAGAGAAGTTATGAAAAAAAGTTCTATGACGCATCCACCATGCATTTCCTCATTTGGCATCCTATATGCAGGCTTTAGTTAACTGACCAATGTACATATTGCATTACAACCTTACGTTCTAGAGTTTACTATTTAACTTATACATTATTATTTTACTGTTTTGATTAAAAAGTGTTCACTCATGAAAGCATCATCTTGATTACACACCTCAGAATCTTCATCAGCCAAGTTTATTTTTTCCTCCATTCAAGTCATTTTATAAGTACTGTTGTAGCATTTAAATTAGAAGCTGCAAGCCTCCATCTACAACTAGAATATGCCCTGTAATATAGGGAGACTCCAGAAGAAAGACAACAGCTTGTGCAACTTCATCAGGCTCTCCAAATCTTCCAAGAGGAATAGTTTTCTTCAACTGATCTTCCTTCAAATGTGCAGTCATCTCTGTGTGAACAAAGCCTAAGAGAGAAAAAATGTTTGTGACATAAAATGTAAGCAGAATTTGATGAGAGTAGCTGTAGAAGTCTGTAAGAAATCCTGGTATGATATAGTGGCTCTATAAGATCCTTGAGTCCTATCCTTATCCAATGTAAAGTAAGTTTATGAAAAAACATAGCATAGTTATTTCACTGAGAGTCAATCCAATCTCAGTGCAAATACATTTTGTGTGCACACGCACACACTCTCTATTACTCCTAAGGGCATTCTGCACCAAAAAATAAAAAATTCTGCACACAATATTTTAAAGTTTTGCAAGTTTTATTTGTCAATAAATAAATGCAGAGGCTCCAGCATGGCTGTGGGGAGCACATGCCACTGGCTGCATGAAGGTGATAGATCACCCCACAGCCCTCCCATCACCACCCACCCTTGGGACACGGACTCTGCGGTGAGGCCGCACCCGACTGACAGAAGGCCTGGACCTGCCCCAGAAAATCCCTGGAGCTCTGCCCCTTTGCATCAGGTGCACAAAATGTGGGGCAGGCAGCCTCAGCCAGGCAGGACCCAAGTGCGAAGGGGCTCAGTGTGAGGGGATCCAGGTGTGGGGTGAGAGGGTTCTGTGTGGGACAATCTCAGTGGGGGATCTAGATTCACAGAGGCTCCTTGGGGGGCTTCCAGGAGAAGGCGGTTGGGTCACAGCGGAGGGGTCTGGGTGCAGCTAGTTGGGGTTCAGTGGCATCAAGGTCTGGATGTGGGGACTCAGGGTGGTGCAGGGAGGTGAGGCACATCAGTGTGGGGGTTTGAGTGCAGGCAGCTCGGGGGGGGGGGGAGGGGGGAAGCGTTGTCTGGATGTAGGAGTGAGGGTCCAGAGGCAAGGGGTCTGGGTGCAGGGGGTTGAGGTTCATTGCAGTGGAGTTCAGATATGGAGGGCTAGGGAGGTTCTAGGTGTACGGAGTAAAGCTTGGCGGGGGTGTCCGGATATGGGAGATCTGAATGCACAGGGGTTGGGTGGATGGGGGAGCAGCTCCCCATTCAGTGACCCCTCCCGCATCAGCGGAGGAGCTATGGGGGCAGGAAGCAGAGGAGGTTTCTGGGGGTGGGTCTGACACAGCCCCTGCCACTCCTAGCAGGGGAATAAGTCCCGTCCTCTCCTGCCTCCAGCCAAGATGGACTAGCAGCTAATTCCAGCCCCACCGTGATTTACCTCTCTGCTGGCTGCTCCGATGTACCTGCACTGCTAGGGAGTGATGAGTGACTGCTCTTGCAGCTTCCCTTTGCTTCCCTGTCAGAAAGTCATTTTTCTGTGGGGAAGCAAAGAAATTTGCAGGGGCATGAATTCTGCACCTCCACCACAGAGCAGATGTTGCAGGCAAATTGCTGGAAAAAGCGTATGAAAAAGAAATTGAGCAGTGTGCATAAGGTCTAGAGGGTGAAATTGTTAACCTGAGTTTTGATGGGTGGAGCAATGTCCACAATAATCCTCTTGTATGTGCTTATGTGACAACAGAAGAAGGGACTGTCTTCCTTACAGAAACAACTGATACATCAGGAAATGCGCACACAGCAGAATACTTACAAGTAGCAGCAGTAAAAGCTATAACAAACTGTGGGAAAAAAATTCAAAATATCTAGTATGCAGCTTGTTCACAGACAATGCCGCAAATGTATCCAAGATGAGAAGAAATTATTTAGAAGAGAGTCTCAAGCTAACATACGATTGCAGTGCTCATTTGATGCACCTCCTAGCCAAAAACTTCAGTGTTCCAGAAATAAAGGCTAACGTTGTTGAAATTCCAAAACACTTCCGTAACAACCACTTTGCAGCAGCTGCTCTGAAAGAAGTGGGAGGAACCAAGCTAACTCTCCCACAAGACATGCGATGGAACTCAGTAGTGGACTGTTTTGAGCACTATATCAAGAACTGGCCTAACCTGATGACAGTTTGTGAACAAAATCGTGAAAAAATAGATCGTATTGTCACAGACAGAGTTCTCAACGTTGGGCTTAAGAGAAATGTTGAACACATGCTGAGTACCCTGAAGCCTATTTCTATAGCCTTGAACAAAATGCAGGGAAATAGCTGTTTTACTGCTGACGCTGTTGAAATTTGGAAGGAACTGAGGGACATCTTAAAAAGAGAAATTTGCAATGACAGAATTAAACTACAAGCATTAAAAAAACAAATGGGACAAGCACTATCTCCAGCTCATTTTCTTGCAAATATTCTCAATACTCGGTACCAGAGTCAAATCTTAACTGCTGAGGAAGAGGAGTTGGCTATGACATGGACATCCAGCAATCATCCCTCCATAATGCCAACTATAATAAACTTCAGAGCTAAGGGTAAACCATTCAAGAAATATATGTTTGCTGATGATGTTTGAAAGAAAGTCACACCAGTGAACTGGTGGAAGTCACTTAAACACTTGGATTCAGAGACAGCTGAAATGATAATCTCTCATTTCAAAGCAGTAGCTTCTTCTGCCGGTGTAGAAAGAATATTTTCTTCCTTTGGACTAATTCATTCCAAATAGAGAAACTGTTTGGGACCTGAAAAAGCAGGAAAGATTGTTTTTCTTTTCCAGATTATGAACGGGAAAATGAAAGTCAAAATAATTAAGTAGGCTGCAGAAGCCAAAATTTTAAGTTTCTCATGTTGACCTGGCTGACATCGTTGATTTATTTATTTATTTTTAAATATTTCATTTAACTACTTTAGTTAAAAACTATTTTAACAACAACAAACCTGATTTTAAAAAACTTGAATGTTTAACTAAATTCAAAAATTCATGCTTGTTTTATTAAAATATTATATGTTTGCTGTTGAAGAAAAAAATCCAGAATACACAAAGTTGTTGTTTTAGTTAAATAAAAAATGTAAATGTCTGTCTGGTGATGTTCTCCTCCTAATACAGCATGGCAAGAAAATTCTTCAAATATTAATGATTAACCTGTTGAATTGGAGATCGTTCACCTCCCAATGACTTCATAAATTGCTGCTTCAATTACCTTTGGTTAATGAAATAACCAAACAATCATCATTTTCTGATATAGCTGTAAAACTAACCTGAAAAGTTTTCAAAAGAAATCACTTTAAAAATGTATAGTGTGAAAATGAAACCTACATCTCTCTCGGAGTTGTGAAGAATATGTATTAAGGTTATAACAAAAAATGCACTTTTATGTAGAAATCCATGATTAAATCGAGTCTTCCTGACTAGTAATTTAAATCATGATTTAAATCAAATCCACCTTGACAGGAATGTTTGGGCTTTTTGAAAACCACTTCATTTCCTGTCAAACTAATAAAATTGGAAATTTCAGAAAATGGACCGACTAAAAAGAAAAAAAATGTTAATTTTAACTTTTAAATTTATCTGAGGCTTTTGCCATTCAAGAACAACAAAGGTTTCAGAGTGGTAGCCGTGTTAGTCTGTATCAGCAAAAAAAGAATGATTTGTGGCACCTTAGAGACTAACAAATTTATTTGAGCATAAGCTTTCGTGGGCTAAAACCCATTTCATCGGATGCATGCAGTGGAAAATACAGTAGGAAGATACACACACACTGAAAAAATGGGTGTTGCCATACCCACTATAACGAGAATGATCAGTTAAGGTGAGATATTATCAGCAGGAGAAAAAAAACCTTTTGTAGTGATAATCAGGATGGCCCATTTCCAACAGTTGACAAGAAGGTGTGAGTAACAGTGGAGGGGGGGGGTGGGAAAATAAGCATGGGGAAATAGTTTTATTTTGTGTAATGACCCATCCACTCCCAGTCTCTATTCAAGCCTAATTTAATGATGTCCAGTTTGCAAATTAATTACAATTCACAGTTTCTCGTTGGAGTCTGTTTTTGAAGTTTTTTGTTGTAGTATTGCCACTTTTAGGTTTGCAATTGAGTGACCAGGGAGATTGAAGTGTTCTCCGACTGGTTTTTGAATGTTATAATTCTTGACGCCTGATTTGTGTCCATATATTCTTTTACATAGAGACTGTCCGGTTTGGCCAATGTACATGGCAGAGGGGCATTGCTGGCACACGATGGCATATATCACATTGGTAGATGTGCAGGTGAACAAGCCTCTGATAATGTGGCTGATGTGAAGAACAAAGGCACTTAGAGAAATGTTGCATATTCATTAAGCAGACTGCATATTCAGGAGATAAAAGGTGTCACCTAATCTAACCCTGCAAGCAAGGTGCCAATGAAAGAGAGACAGCAACAAACTTTGAATCTAAACATGTCTGAAAGAGGCTTACTGTCCTATAATTTCATGGAAACAGGAAAAGTATAAAAAAAACAACCCTCTGAAATGAGAACCCCTCACACATATCCTCTCTAGCCTGCTTAAAAACAGCAAGCATTACACAATTCACCCAGTCCACATCTACAAGCAAGGTGCCACAGCAACGATAAAACACAGAAGACTCAAAAAGAAACCAACCTAAGAAAACCTCCTCAAGATTTTAACAATGGTGAGATAAACTAAGACACTGCTAAAGGATTAGATTTAAAACTAATTATTTTATTGGAATAGTGAAATGCAATAACTTAAAATATTAATAGTTTCTCTTGTTATTCACCAAAAGGTTAAACTGTATATTCTTGGAGAAGAAATGAGGCTTGTCATAAATGTAAAGGGAAGGATAAACCCCTTTAAAATCCCTCCTGGCCAGAGGAAAAATCCTCTCACCTGTAAAGGGTTAAGAAGCTAAAGGTAACCTCGCTGGTACCTGACCAAAATGACCAATGAGGAGACAAGATACTTTCAGAAGCTGGGAGGAGGGAGAGAAACAAAGGGTCTGTGTCTGTCGGTATGCTGCTTTGCCGGGGATAGAACAGGAATGGAGTCTTAGAACTTTTAGTAAGTAATCTAGCTAGGTATGCGTTAGATTATGATTTCTTTAAATGGCTGAGAAAAGAATTGTGCTGAATAGAATGACTATTTCTGTCTGTGTGTCTTTTTTGTAACTTAAGGTTTTGCCTAGAGGGATTCTCTGTGTTTTGAATCTAATTACCCTGTAAGGTACCTATCATCCTGATTTTACAGGGGTGATTCCTTTACTTCTATTTCTATTAAAAGTCTTCTTGTAAGAAAACTGAATGCTTTTTCATTGTTCTCAGATCCAAGGGTTTGGGTCTGTGGTCACCTATGCAAATTGGTGAGGATTTTTACCCAACCTTTCCCAGGAAGTGGGGTGCAAGGGTTGGGAGGATTTTGGGGGGAAAGATGTGTCCAAACTACGTTTCCCAGTAAACCCAGTTAGAGTTTGGTGGTGGCAGTGGTTATTCCAAGGACAAAAGATAAAATTAATTTGTACCTTGGAGAAGTTTTAACCTAAGCTGGTAAAAGTAAGCTTAGGAGGTTTTCATGCAGGTCCCCACATCTGTACCCTAGAGTTCAGAGTGGGGGAGGAACCTTGACAGGGCTAAACATCAGTAAATACAGAAACAGTGGAATTTAATTGGATATAAGATTCTTAACTGGCCAGTCTCAAGACAGCCCCTTAAATGGCTTCTTCTAAGTAAGTGATTTAAATATTTTCTTGGATTTCATGGAATTTAGTAAAAATTGCTTACTCTGCCCAATTATAGCATGTTGTGGTTATCAATGATATATACCAAACAGGATCTACCTGTTTTTGAAATTATTTTGCAAAGAATACAAACATTCTTTGTTCTCTAAGGATAGACTAAGTCTGGTTTCATACTAATTCTGGGAAATATGGCCTTCGTTTCAATTTACAAAGAGAAAAAAGTGCCACACCAAAGGCAAGTCCACTCTCAGAGACGTAATCTCTGCTAAAAGCTCTCCAGAGAGAGGCATGCTTCTATTACAGTCTGTTCTGTAACAGGTTTATTAGTTGGGTTCTGTCACTTGTCTTGCTTTGTTTAAGGTTTTCTATTCCTTTCTTTAACAAAATAGCCATGGTCTATAACTTGATTATTTTGCTTGATCTCAGTTATGGTGTACCCAAAGGTATGTAAAGAATCCCATCTTGGAATTGGCAATAAGAGAAACAATTAGTAAGAATTGGCTTACTATTTCTAGTTTCTCTAAACATTTTTAGTAATTTATAATAATACAATTACTTGGCATCCAACAATTTAAAATTACCCCTTTCTGCCCCATATAACTATATGTCCCTTTAAGAAATTGAAAGATCAGTCCCATTAGGAAATAGTACAATATGCCCTCTCTTATCCATTTTCTTTTGTGTACTAAGAGTCTGAAACATTAAAGACAATGCAGATATAGAAAGGAATCTCCTACAAAAGAGAAATTCCTCCTCACACAGCATTTCTTAAATTTCCTTTTCTACACTGGGTTAGTTCACAGAAGTAAAGGATAAGCAAACAAAATTAAAATAGATACTCCAGAAGGAGCACACATTTATTCCCTTAAGCACATTCATATGTAAAAATGGGCTGAGTAAGAAAATAGACAAAAAATTTTGTCTAAAAAAAAATTTTAAATAAAAGATTACCATTCTGATTGGAAACTAGCCTAAAACCTGCTACTTAGCAGTGTTTTTCTATCAGAGTATTTTTATAGATAGTTTCTTACTTTCAGAGTACAATAAGCAAATAGTAAGCGCTTCTTTGTTCCAACCTTGCTGATCTATAACTGAAGTAATCACAAAAAACGTACAGAGATTTAGTATCTTAATCATGAACTAACCTGGAGCAACCATGTTGACTCGAATTTTCTTTCTTGCTACTTCTTTAGCAAGAGAGCGTGAAAATCCAACTAACCCTGCTTTGCTGGCACTGTACACACTCTGACCAGAATTGCCCTTGAGTCCAACAATACTTCCTAAAACAAACAAAAGAGCAAACTGAGGCCAAATGACAGGCTAAATTTAATCTTTTACAATAGCAATGTTGTGGCTTTACTGAAGTCAGAACTTTTAATCACCATCCTTTTAAATAACAGCAATTTTATTAGAGCTTGATACGCATGTAGAGTCTCCATTTGCAAGTTAGGCATGTATTCAAGGGAAAATCTGAGTTCTAACTATTGGAGAGACAGTTAAGATTACAAATAAAGTAATGAAAATAAGATTGCTTCCTGCATATTAACTTATCACCGACAGCAAACCTCTCAGCTATCTATGTACAGTTCGTACAAATATGCAAGAGAAAATTATAGTAAGTGTGTGGCAAAGCTCCCTGAATAATACCCTCCTAGAGAGAAAAAAAAGCCATGCCTTATTGTTAATTAAAATCAAAATAGAGAAACACTTGCAATAATTGGCAGAAGTTACAGGAAGATTATAAAAGCATGATGAAATGCAGACTAAAGGTTTTTAGAAGGACTTTATTTACCACTGACATGAGCTGCACTTACATTCAGAGGTTGCTGAAAAAGTTTAAAAAGGAACAATGTGTTCACAAAAGAAAGGCTAAGAAAATAGTGACTCAATGAGTTTAATGAGAAAACACACGTGCATAAAGTTACTTGAATGTGTAAAGGTCTGCAGAACTAGGAATAAAAAAAAAAAACAACTAACCACACACACAAAATTCATCGTAAATGAAAAAACATAATACTCCTTCAGCCTTTCATACTGTGTGTTACTTCTGGATTGCTTTAAAGGGGCACTGTAAATCTGTAATCTTGTCTTTTTTTAAAATTAAAACTAACATTAAATATCACACTTGCCTTTGAATCCTCTTCCCAATTGTTATGGATAAACAATTGGGAAGAGGATTTATAAAAAAAAAAAAAAAGAAAGAAACAACTCACCACATTTTCCTAATTCTTTAACATATTACTGTCTTTCACAAACAGAGAAATCTATCAGACTCTCCAGAGGAAACAACCAAACTAACTTTACACCAAACGCTATGAATAGTGACAGGTAAATATACTGGGGAAAATAGAGGGGGGAAATATCTTATTTTTCAGTTGTAGGAATCTTTGGTTTTCATCTTGCAGTTAGCTTCAATGGGCACAAAGGTCTAATCATTTGAAGCTCATTCCAGGCTTGGAGCATAACGATAATAGGCAGAATATATTCAAAATGAAATGTGGAGAATTTTTTTATTATTTGATTATGTCCCTCTACAAGTAACTGGACCCAATGGTAAAATATTAATTCCAGAATATTATGTATTTCCTACAATTGTTTCAGTTTTGGATTCTTACTACACGTTTTTAGAGGTAAACCTTTTAACATGAAATTTCTAAGACTGTGTCTAAGAAAGTCATTTAAATACAATTAACCACCTTCAACTTGCCTAAGGTGGAGACTCACCTATGTTAACAATAGCACCTCCTTGCTGTTGAAGCATACGCCTTACAGCAGCTTTGCATGTCAACATTGTCCCCAGAAGGTTAGTGTTAATTTGGGATACCATATCTTCAGATGTGGTTCTCAGCAACAAGCCATCCCTGTCAAAAAAGCCCAAAAAAACAAAAACCCTGAAAAACTGGTTTAAGTCATCCCTGGTCAAATTTCATTGCCCAGAATAAAGTTCCACCAGGGAAGAATTTGACCCTACATGCACTAGCGCTGTTCTTGATAACACTGAAAAATTATGCACAGTAATAAGACATAAGGCCCGCATCAGCCATTTTGCTGATAGTATATTACAAGCGGCCAAATGTATTCGCTCAGACGACTGTCAAACACTAATTTCTAATGGATGACAGTGTTTGACAGTCCTCTGAGCGAATACATTTGACCGCTTGTAATATATTTATATATATTTGTACTGGAGTTTATATCTGTGAGTACAACAGAAAGACAAGGAGAGTGAAGTAATATCTTTTATTGGACTAACTCCTGTTGAAGAGAAAGACAAGCTTTCGAACTTACACAGAGCTATTCTTCAGGTCTGGAAAATGGACTTGAAGGGTATGTCCTCACTGCAATTAGACACCCACAGCTGGCCCATGTCAGCTGACTCAGGCTCGCAAGGCCATAAAATCGTGGTATAGCTGGAGCCCAAGCGCTGGGACCCTAGGGAGGGTCCTAAAGCTCAGGCTCCAGACCAAGCCCTAATGTGTATTTAAAACAAAACAAAAAACAAACAAACCCACAGGACACCTGCAGGTATTTAATTGCAGTGTAGACATATCCTTAGTGTCACAGCCAAAACACAAGGTGGAACATATTAACTACTTATGCTAAACACCACATTTTGCAAGGGACTATTCAAGGAGAAATAGCCCCTAAGCACCTCCAAGTGGTGCACGTAAAATCCATGTCTTACCAGTACAGGGTGGGCACCATCTAAGGGGGGCACATGACCACCCCATGCGACCCTCCATGTGACTCCTCACTGCCCCACCCCCAGCCCAGGGCACCCACGCTCTCCCCGTCCCCTCCCTACATCCATCCCATATTACCTGGGGCGGGAGGGGGGAAGGTGTGCTCTGTACTCCTCCTGCTGTGCCAGAGACAGGGCTGGGGGCGCCGGTGGTACAGCGGCCGGGGAGCTGCCAGAGTTCTGCTCCGTTCCCCGCTGCCCCACCCAGCAGGGGCAGCAGTGGAGAAAACAGCAGAACTCCCAGCACCCGAGCTGCATCTCCATCCTTCCTTGTACTACAGCAGCAGCCCTGCCAGAGACAGGGCTGGGTGGGCGAGCCTAGGAGAGGTACAGCCACTGGAGGAACTGCCAGCATTCTGCTCCTTTCCCCACTGCCCCTCCCAGCGGGGATATGAGCAGAACCCCCAGCCCTCTCCTCTGGCAAGGCTGCTGTGGTGTCTTTCCGGTACGCCATACCGGCTATAAATGGCTTGCTGGTACAGCATACCGGCCTACTTGCACTGCTGGTACCTCTCAAGTCATGCGGGGGAGGGAAGGGTTACAGATTCTTGTAATAAGCCATAGATCCAGTGTCTTTATTCAGTCTATGTTTTTTGGTGTCTAGCAAAGTTATGAATTTATGCTCCCAGGCTCATCTTTTGAAAGTGTTGTGCAGGTTTCCTTGGAGAATGAGAACTGAGTGGTCATACCTAGAGTAATCGCCTGGTGAAAATTTTTGTCGTTTCATTTTTCTGTGACAGTTCATTTAAGAGCATAGTGATTGTCTTATTTCACACTCACAGTTGTTACTGGGATATTTAGTGCATGTACAAGACCCATGGATCTTGAAAAATGTGTTGCGGAGGATGTTGATCATCATAGCAGTAACTATGTCTACAAGTTTTGCATCTGTTGTTCTGGCTACAACAACACTGACCACAATACACAGTCTTCAGATACATTTCAATTAATTTTTAGAGCCATTACCGATGTGTTTAATTTTGCAGTTACTCTCTTAGGGTACGTCTACACTACACGCTGGATTGGTGGGTAGTGATCAATCAATCCCCAATCGCTCTGCCCTTGACTCCTGTGCTCCACCATGGCGAGAGACGGAAGCGGAGTCGATGGGGGAGCGGCGGCAGTCAACCCTGTGCCGTGAGCACGCGTGGCAAGTCGACCTAAGATATGTCAACTTCAGTGAAGCTATTCTCGTAGCTGAAGTTGCATATCTTCGGTCAACCCCCGCCCCCCGCCCCCCAGTGTAGACAGGCGTTAGTATATTTAGTACCTTTCAACAAGAATGCATGGCCTACTCTTACTTATAACATAAAACTAACCTGTTGACTCCAGCAGCATTAACCAAGTAATTAACATGACCTAAATTCTTCTCCACCTCCTCAAGTGTATTTTGGACATCTTGTTCCATGGCTACATCACAGCTAAGTGCCATATGACCTGCTGTATTGAAATGAAGTTGCATTAGGCTAACAGTAAATATAAACAGCAAAATAATAGTAAAAACAGATGTTGAACTAGTTCTAATTTAAGAAATCTGCTCCACCTCAAAGGAGAGTTAAATGAGGACAAGTTTCAGGAAGTCTCCTGATTAGTTACGACACTTCCTTGTGTTTTGTATTTTTTGGCCCTTTTCAAGTTTCGAATCAATGTGGTCTAGAGCAGTTTGAGGTCTCGGTTGGCTGGAAGCCAAGAATTGCCAAGTTTTAATGCCATTTCTGTCACCAACTCACATGACCGTGGACAACTGCCTTAATCTCAGGTTACCCCATCTGTAAAAGGGTGTCTGTAACAATTACTTACTTACCTTCCTGGTAGGAGTGTTATGAAGATTATATATTTGGGAAAAAAAGTAAAGTGCTGTATGAACTGCTCTTAAATGCAGAATATTATAGTTATAAAATATTATAACTGTAAAATTCCAGAAGAATGGATGGTTCTTAAATGCTGTTTGGCACTTCCACACTTTTCCTATCTGCAAATACCATTTTTTCAGTTACCACAAACCCTGCCAGTGTCAGGCCCGAGATTTCATGGCTTAAATTTCAAAACAGCAGTGCACACAACTATACTCAAAAATAGTTTAAATGCACTTTATAATTAATACACAAAATTCACTGGACATTCATTTTGAAACTACACAAATTTAAAAACAAAATAGACCATCTTGCTCCCCGTGAAGTTAATGAGAACTTTTCTATTGACAATCATGAGAACTGGCCCAGGCCATTATTCACACTATGTCAGATAGTAAATCCTCCATCTGCTTTGCTATATTTGGCTTAATTCTCAAATAGATGCTCTGCCTTTTACTTTCACCTGCATTTGGGAAAATGCTCAGTTTAGATATATTACTGTATTACTCTTACCAGTTACGTAAAAAGTGGACAGTCATGAATAAACAGTAACAAAGCAATATACATACCCCCAAGGTGATTCACAGTAGTTTGAGCTACTTCCAGATTTCTAGCAATAATAGCCAAGTGGTATCCTTTCCATGCCAGCAGTTGTGCAACAGCTTTTCCAATTCCTCGGGATCCTCCAAAAATGGCACAAACTTTGGGCATCTCCAAAGAATAATTCACAAACAGCAAATAAGTCTACAATCAACAGTGACTGGCACCAAATATTTTAGGACCTGATCTTCTATGGTGCCAATTATCTTCCATTCCCACTGAAGTCAATGAGAATACAGCACTCTGTTGTATCAGGTTGTTTCAGTCTTACTGTATTCATAGTTTATTGTTTATATTTAAACTTTAACAAAAACAGCTGAACTAAACATTATTAGCTATGTGTTAAGGTGGAATATCTTCAGGTGAGAAACAAGTGTACTAAAATTTTTGAATTACAGATAATCTTCAATTTTGCAGTCAGATAATCACTAACCACAATTTAACTATTATTTTAAGAGTGTCACAAAGTTTCCAAGCAATATAATTGTAAAGATCATTATATACCTGCTCAAGTCAATACTTACAAAATTCAGTCTTTTCAAAGCCAACTCAAGAACGAAATGTGATTATTGTATTAGCACTTCTGATATTAAAGCCACTCAGTCTTTTGACCATGGCCACAAAACTCATCCCAAGTATCTCTATGAACCATAACATACACTATTTTTATTAGTAACACATACTGTGTTTACACTGCCACTAACCAAACAGTATTTTGTTCATTGCTTCTGCTTTTAAATAATAAAAAGCTTGTTTAATGAGTTGAAATGATGGTTGAGCAGGTATGTACCTAACTTCAGGCCAAAACCTTGCACCTTAGTAAACACAGAATAAAGGCTCTAGAATTTGTCACTTTGCCATTATAATGTTGCTTCCTGTGGGAGAGGTGAGGGTAGAAAAGAGGCCTCGTTTCTTTTCTGCTGGTTATGGAAAGAATGCCAAAAGGTATCTTTTCAGTTAACTGCCATGTTATGTCAGGGGAAATTATGAACATAGGTTTTTAACATGAAAATATTCTGGAACTACACAGACTCCTTTTAGCAGTTTTATACAATCTGTTGGGAGATTTCTAAATATCTGATAATGCCCTTTAAGAAAAATAAAAGTGAGAATAAATCATCGGTCCACAAAGGACCATCACAACTGGCAGTTTCAACAGAGTGTAGCCCAGAAGTGAATCAATAAGATTTTATAGGGTCATTCCCCCTTATTGAATCACTGCACTGTGTCTTTTACCACAAGGACAAGGTCAGCATTCTCACCTTTGAGACACTTCAGAACCCTCATCTTTCCAGACATTTGTTTTATACCACAGTACCTTTTATCAAAGGATTTCAAAATGCTTTACCAACTCTGGCTATTATGGAACTACTCACATGAAAAAGGCCTGATGGACTGGGTCCTAGGGAGAAAAATCTATCCCTGTATTGGTACTGAGTCTAGTGAAGGGGCGGGGTCTTGCACCTTTTCTACCACTGGGGCTGCTGGGGCCATTTTGGCTTCTGGTCAAAGTTTGAACAGCTCTAATATCTGCTCAGACACGGACGCTAGATGCAGCAGCTGCTATACACCATTTCACTCCCAGCACACAACAAAGTCCCAACCACGCCTTTTCTCCTTCCAGAGATGTTTCCACACCACTGTTCTCCCACGCCCACGCGGTGTGACTTGCTCTTCTGAGTTTCACACCTCTGGGAATGAACTGGACCGTTAACTCTTCCTGCAAGGGGGCCCCCAGGCTTGCAGGCCTCCATGCGCAGAGCCGCCCTGCAGGGGCAGCGTGGGGAGAGCACGACGGGGGCCGGCCCGGAACGGCGAACACCCAGAGGAGCTCGCACAGCTCCCAGGAGTCGCTTTCAGCCTCGGCTCCAGGAAACTGTAGCGCAGCCTCCCGCCACCCACGGGAGCTTCACGCGAGCGGCGCAGACCCAGCCAGCAGAGAGCGGCCGATCTGGCAGGCAGCGCCCCCGGGCGTTCACCCACCCAGCCCCTCCGTGCGGGGCCGAGCCCCCGCTCCCGCTGTCCCCCAGCTCCAGCTCTGCCTGCGCCTGCCGCCAGCCTCCCCTAGGGGGGAGCAGCAGTTGGCGATCCCGCCTGGAGTAGCGGCAACCGGCTCCCTGGGGCGGAGCAAGCAGCGTTGGAGCCTCGCGCTCCCCCAGTTCCGAGGCAGGCGGCCTCGCGCTATTTCAGGCGCTTGTCACAGTGGCGCAGCGGCATTCGGGATTCAGCAGTAGCCGGTTACCATGGAGACCACGCCGAGCTCTGTGGCACCCGTCTGCGTTCCTCCCCCTACCTCGCTCGCGCTGTTACTTGGAAAAACGCGCGCGCACCCCTTCCTTCCTTATGGTCCACGGGTGGGCACTGGAACGCCTCTCCTGCTAGAGACTACTACTCCCGGCATGCAATGCGGCCGGACTGCTCGGGCCGCAGATAGAGCGTCTGTAGCTGCCGGTATGATTAGGGAGCAGTGCATGTTGGGACTTGTAGTAAGGGGTGCCCAGGTGAAGCTCTGGCTGCTGCTGCGCGGGGCTCACAGAATCCTTGGGTGGGACTAGGAATAATCGTCCATCAATTAACCACCCCCCAAAGGTTTCGACGTAGATGCTGCCTCACCTCAGCCGCTCTTCCCCACCAGACAACATGCCCCTTGCCCCAGCCACTGCCCCCGGTGCCATCCCACAATCCAGGCTTGGTCAGTTTTATCAGGTGGCGATAAAGCCCCGGTTCCTGGAGTCACAGCAGGTGGTTCTAGGGGGTTACACCTTGAATACGAGTCAATACTGTGATGCAGCTGTGAAAACAGCAGTTATTCTGGGCTCTCAATGGCCCCTCAAGCCCTACATTTCTACAATTATTGCGTGAGACTCTTTTTCATTTTAAACAAAAAGTAGTAATGCTAACCTCAAGCAATGTATCAGTCAGGCCCCTCAAAGGCATGAGTGATTTTTAAAAATAATTTTTGTTACTACTACATTTTAGGTGATTTTTATTTGTCTTCTGGTTACTGAGCCTTTTGGGTGCACTCATGTCATGTTCTCAGGCTTTTCTCTACAACTGTGAGGACCAGAAATTCATTTTTAAACAAAAGCTGAGTTTCTCCCCTAGTCCATTGCTTCCAGGAGCCAAGCCTCTAAGAAAAACACCACATATCATGAAATGGTGAAATCACAACAGTTACCAACATTGAGGAAATTCTAGTCTTCACAGTTGCTAAAAACACACACACAATAAATGAATCAATTTTTTAAAATCTCATGATTTTAAGCCAATTAATAATTTTTGAATGCTTTCCTTTGACAATGCTACAGGCACACCTTCCTGTCCCCAGACATGCAGCTATTACTTAGGTGCCATGCAGCATATTCCTTTCTCTCATCCTCCAAAACCAGACAATCTTGCTTTCTATCTTAGTTCATAGGTTTTAGGATTTTGAACTGAAATCTCAGTTTTACACATTGAAGCAGTAATTTACAATGAACCTATCAACTATTTTAACACTGCACTTTTTAACCTAACCCTGCTCCTGTCCCGAAGAATCTGTTGTCAGAAATGATTTGGAGTGTAAGTATACTGAGAACTTATCTTACATCACATCACCTTTACATTGAAAATGGCTGCACTCTATTTTCTTTTTAGCATACCCCTATTGTATACCTAAGAATCTTTTTTTCCCCTTTTCTCCTTTTTCTTCTTCATAGTATATTTCCCCTTTCTCCATGGATCTATCAGCTTGTCTCTACACTTACACTGTAACTATGCTGGCGTAATTAAAATGGTTTTCGGTCCACCTCAGTGTACACAAGGATAAGGTATTTATACCAGTATAGCTGCATCTAGATGAGGGCTTTCACTAGCATAATTATATATATTAAAAAAAACACACACCCCACATACTTCTGACATGTTATGCCAATAAGTGTAGAAGACCAGCCCTTTATCATACATGATATAATACTGAGTGGGACAACACAGCTCATCAGCCATTCAGTAGTCAGTTGGAGGATCTTTTGAGTGATTCCAGGTCTCCTTTCCTCTACAGAGAGAATGTCTACACTGCAGCTGCTACACAGGCACAGCTATGGTGCTGCAGCTGTGCCACTGTAGTACAGACGATTCCTGCATCAACAGAAGAGATCTCCGCCCGCACCCCCAATCAACGTAGTTAATCCTCTCCAAGAGTTGATAGATCAACGGAAGAATTCTTCCATCAGCCTAGCCACATATACACCGAGGGTTAGGTCAACCTAACTATGATGTGTGCAGATGTGGTCTCCCCATCTCAAAAAAGAGATACTGGAATTGGAAAAGGTTCAGAAAAGGGAACCAAAAATGATTAGGAGTAAGGAATGGCTTCCATATGAGGAGAGATTAATAAGACTGGAAAAGAGCTTGGAAAAGAGATGGCTAAGAGGAGATATGATTGAGGTCTATAAAATCATGACTGGTGTAGAGAAAGTAGATAAGGAAGTGTATTATGAGAAGTAGTAAACAAGCACTAGGGGTCACCAAATGAAATTAATAGGCAGCAGGTTTAAAACAAAAGGAAGCATTTCTTCACACAATGTGGAGTCAGCCTGTGGAACTCCTTGCCAGAGGATGTTGTGAAGGCCAAGACCATAACAGGGTTTAAAAAAGAACTAGATAAATTCATGGAGGATAGGTCCATCATTGACTATTAGCCAAGATGGGTAGACATGGTGTACCTAGCCTCTGTTTGCCAGAAGCTGGGAATGAGCAACAGGGATGGATCGCTTGATGATTACCTGTTCTGTTCATTCCGTCTGGGGCACCTGGCACTAGCCCCTGTCAGAAGCCAGGATACTGGGCTAGATGGACCTTTGGTCTGACCCAGTAAGGTTATTCTTATGTTCTTATGATGCTCAGGGCATGAAATTTTTCACAGCCCTGAGTGACATAGCTAGGTCAAGCTAATTTATAAGTGTAGACCAGACCTGATTAATTTGGCAGTGATACATTGAAATTTGTGTACATAATAGACAAGGAATTAAACCAGAGTCTCCCCTATGATGGGGGAGAATGCAAGTGTGCCTGGATTTGATGGTTTTGTGACTATGTTACCATTGTAAGACTTTATTTGTTTAGCTCTACTTCAGGGGTGGGCAAACTACAGCCCAAGGGCCACATCCAGACTTTCAGATGTTTTAATCCGGCCCTCGAGCTCCTGCCAGGGAGTGGGGCTGGGGCTTGCCCTGCTCCGGCACTCCAGCTGGGGGCTTGTCCCACTCCACATGTGCTGTGGCTCCGTGCGGCTCCCGGAAGCAGCAGCAGCATGTCCCGCCCTCCAGCTCCTACGCATAGGGTCAGCTATCGGGCTCCGCAGCTCCCATTGGCCGGGAACCATGACCAACAGGAGCTGCAGGGGCAGCGCCTGTGGACAAGGCAGCATGCTGAGTCACCTGGCTACACCTCCACAGAGGAGCTGGAGGGGGGACATGCCGCTGCTTCCGGGAGCTGCTTGAGGTAAGCGCCACCTGGAGCCTGCACTCCTGTCCCCCTCCCACACCCCAACCCCCTGCCCTGATCCCCCTCCCAACCCCTTGATCCCAGCCCAGAGCACCCTCCTGCACTCCCAACCCCTCATCCCCAGCCCCACCCCAGAGCCTGTACCCCCAGCCAGAGTCCTCACACCCCCTCTGCACCCCTGCCCCAGACCAGAGTCCCCTCCTGCACCCTGAACTCCTAATTTCTGGCCCCACCCCAGAGTCCCCAACCCCCAATTTCATGAGCATTCATGGCCCGCCATACAATTTCCATACCCAGATGTGGCCCTCAGGCCAAAAAGTTTGCCCACCTTTGCTCTACTACATAGTTTTGTTTTCTTTTATGTTTTAGTCTCAAATTAAGGTTGCCAATTTTAGTTGGATTTTTCCTGGAGCTTCCATTGCATGAGAATCTTTAATTAAAGATTAATCTTTAATTCCTGGAGACTCCAAGACAATCTTGGAGGTTTGGCAACCCTATCCGAAATGTGGCTTAAATTAAAGTTTAGAGATTAGTATCTGTTTATGTGCAGGACACTTTTCATAATTGTTTGGGCTAATAAAAATTATTCAGAAGAGTTATCAGCTCAGGGGAAATGTGCTATGTGAGGTTCTGACCTTCTGCTGTAAATCTCAGTAATCAGGATTTCAGACGGTTTCTAAGAGCTCCAGGATTAGAGTTGAGAGTGAAGTTATCAATTTTAACATAAATAATTTTCAATGGGCCAATCTTTATATATGATAGGGAAAGATGTATTTGGGGTTCCAGACACACCATTAACCAGCTATAACTTATAACTAGAGAGTTGACATTTGGTCTCAAAATAGTCTTTAGCACAGACTCTCTTTTGTATTACAGAAGTGAGAGTTCACAAAGGGGAAAATGTGGACATTTTGTTCAGGTTAAATAGACAGCAGCAAAATGGCACTGGGGGTTGGGAGGGGGGGAAGAGAATCAATCAATCATTCTCCAATGAAAAGGGATATAGCTAATTAGCTAAAGCTGGTGGACTAAAGACACAATAATTCTAGGTTCCATGACATGATATGGGTAGAGCAACAGACCAGAATTCATGTGACATAATAAACTAGGGCTTAATAATAGTCTGATGCTCCCTCATCAAGAAAGGCAGCATAACATAATGCTTTAAGAAAGTAATAAAAAGTTGGTCTTCCCTGTACACATTGGAACTCTGACACAAAAGTAGGAAATTCTCTGCATTTTTTAAACATTTTAAACTGCATCATGTAGTGAACAAAGTGACAATGCAAAACATTCTTTCCCATGGTTCAGACAAGATTGTGTTCAGCTCTTGTCTAGTAAATGCTTATTTAAAACTTAGATGTGTAATCAGAGATCACTTATTAGCCACAGAATCACCAGATGTTTGCAAAAGTTATGTTAACCTTTCTCTCAATGATTTATTTTTACATGTTTTAAGCACATGGCCAAAAGCATACACAAG